GGCGTCTTCGTTTCCAACAAAATATACACCAAAGATGATATCGATCACACTATGGAGGTAGCTGGATGGGGCACAACGGCATCGGGAATGAAATATTGGATTATTCGTAATAGCTGGGGCACCTACTGGGGTAGCAACGGATGGTTGAAGTTGAAGCGTGGTGTCAACATGCTTCAAAGCGAGTCGGCAGCTTACGAGCTTAGTTCCAGTCTGTCCAACGAGCGACCTCGGGGAGATGAATGTCAATGCTTGTGACGCTGCGTACATGCTATGCATTTTTGGCATGTCTCGAGTGGTTCATGTGCGTCTCTCTCTGTGTGTCCCACATGCTTCTTGCATGTAAATATTATCAGTATGGACAGACACACACACACACATACACACACACATGCATGCATGCGCATATTTACGTGTATATGTATACTGTGTATACAGTATACACGTACATGCACACTTACGTGCGTGCATGCGCACATACGCATGTCGGTGTGTTTGTATTTATACTATATGTATACATACACACGCATACACGCAGGTGTACACAATACGCCAGTCAAAAGTCAAGAGTACACAGGCAGATCTGGATGGATAGTCTTAAACGCTGCGTGTCGACTGCCTGAGCAGAACAGGGGAAGCAGAACTTGGCACGGAGCAAAAGTGAGGTGTTTGGCCTTGACTCGAATGTAAGTAAACGACAGTGAGACAGGGATGGGCAAGCGGGTGCTAGGGTGGGACGGCAGCCAGGGGGAAGGACTGCGACGGAAAGAGGGGGAAGGAGAGTGAGGGACATGCTGGCTACCTCCTAACCAGAGTCCGTGAGTGGATCCCCCTAGGCACTCGCTGATTTCTTGCTAAGGTCCGAGTGTGACTGGGCTACCCCCAGGTTTGGAGAGTTGGACGAAGTGCTTGCAGGACGTGTCTTGGGCAGCTACATGTCGGGTACAACGACGCACGTCGATGATCCTCAGCTTCAAGCTGTTCTTGCGGCTCCCGCAGCAATGGTTGCCACAATTTTCCCTCTTCAATACCCAGAGCTGCCGCTATTGGCATGCACTTTCTCTCTAGGCGTTGCTGTTGCGGTGGTGGTTTCCCGGCTGGTGAACCACCGGCGGAGAGCCATATCTGTCAAAGCGGAGCCGCTTCTAGGTTAATCTTAGATAGCACGATGGGAGCGCTTGCAGAAAAAGAAAGCAGTCTTGGTGTTTCGGGGCAGTGAGCGCCGCTTGTTCCACCTGCACTCGCCGTTGCCAGATCCAAGCCGTCGCGCCTGAGGCATACTCGCCGTGGCCTTTCAGCTGTCTGAAGCCTGCGTGTACATACCATTGAGTTTGCTGTTGCGCAACCCATTCAGGCAGCTGCGACATTTTGGATTCTACCCTTGAGGCCTGCATGTAAAAAACCGGATGTCCAAATAACAAGTTTGACATTGAGGTAATCTATGCATAGTCTTGCGATCTGTGACAGCTTACGAGCAGGAGCCGTTGACATACTACAAGTCGCTGGAACCTATCAAACCTCACTGGCCGCGTTCCTGGCGAAGGTTCCTCGTGCAAGTGTGCAGCGAGAGTGCAAAAAGCTGCCAACAGCCGTCAGTCTGTTCAAGTCCGACAGGCTGCATTTGATTGATGGCATCCGGGTCAGAGACATGGCGCGGTGCTGAGTCGAAGTGTCCCGACGATGAACGCAATTTGGTGCCCGCTACCCAGGACACCGTGGTGGTTTCCTCTCGCAATAGCCTCTCCAAGACGAAGAAGGGCTTGCTGAGGTGCGGCGCCCAGTGCGCAGCGCCCGGAGCCTGCCCTTTCTGGCCTTGGGCAAAGAAGGTCCTCCAGTGGAACAGTGACGTATTCCAGCACCCACCGCCTCAAGGACCGTTCGTCAGGATACGATGAAGTCGTAGCACCAGGAGCAGAATTGAAGCTTTCAACTCTGCTTGCAGGTTGACCTGGATGCGCAAGAGATTGCCTACATCCTAGGTGACGGAGTGCCAGGCGCCGGCAGCCGTTGACTTGGCAACGAGAGAGCGCGTAACTCGAAAACTTTCCAGCAATAATTGACCATCGCGAGAGCGCATCGGAGAAAAGGCGAGTGAGGTCGGGAAGTCGCTTTCGGGTGGGAGGGCCGGAGCCAGCTTGCAGTTGTTTTTGTTGTCACCAGCCCAAAGTTCGCTTTGCCGCAAAACTGTGGTAGTCGGATCCGGAGGTGGGCCATGACCGGGTCATGGCTTGTGAAGAATGGGTTGTGTTGGTGATACCGGTCTTGGGGTGAGCAGTTGTTTTGTGAGCTTTGCCATTAGCAGAGACCTGTTCACCGATTGGAGGTTTTCAGCAGATGTTGATGTTGCCCTAAAGAGGGCAGGCGCCGGTAACCGCCGTTGGTGTTCAATCCTCGGTTGTCTTGGGAAGAAAATGATGCAGGTCTTGGCAGCACATTTTGGTAAGACAACTTATCTGGTGCTCCGTCCTTGGGTGCACCTCGGAGAAGAAGATGCCGGCTAGGAACGCCGGACAAAATCCACTCGGGAGCATGACAAAACTTCGAACCTGTTTTCTTTTATACTGAGCAGGACGGGTGCAGCATTTCTGGGGGTCTTCATGTATGCCGAGTGAAAAGAGCCGAGGAAGGCAGCTGGCACGAGGAACTTCTCGAGTCCACGGGTTTTGGGACCATATGACGGGCTCTGTGTCCGTGAGCTCGATGCGCGATACGCTCGATCACGGAAGGCTTGCCGCTTTCCCAAGCAGAATCCAGGAAACGTGGAAGCTCCATGGCACAGCATTGCGCCGAAGCGAAACAACGGTTCCGCAAAGACTTCCGTCGCCAGCGGCTTTGGATGGCAATAAAACCTAGACCGCTGTTTGTTCGGGCAAGTGAGCTAGTGACAGAACCTACAAAGCTCTGGAAAACTAGAAGTGGACGATATCCCAGATCTTGGTTCGTTTCGAAATCGCTGCGGCTCTTCGGCACATGAAGAGGGGCATGCACAAGAAGAACCGCCCACAGTCCCCACAAGATCTGCATGCTTCGGCTCGGCCACTGCCGTAATGAGGCACAGGTTGTGTTATGAGCGTCTATATTGCAATCAGATAGCGAGCTTCTGCGTTTCGCGATCCTGGCCGTGGGCTGCTATTCATGTATGGTATCACACTGGCTGAGAGGTGCAGGGCTTTTGCTTGGAAGTGTTTGGCAGGCGGCGGTCATGCCTGGACACCCGCCAGGCGAAGTCTTCAGCTTCGGGCAGTTTCTGCCTACGGCCGGTCCCACTTGTGTGAAAGATGCTTCGTACGTGTTTCTGCACATTGGCCGCTATAGACTTATAGACCATTGCTTAACGGTTCTCGCGAAGCGGCTTCTTCTCGACTTTGTAACAGATTATAACAGATTGTACTACTCGCCGGATTCACGTCTTGCCAGGGTTTGCGGAGAGTAACTGCTGAGCATGAGTTCCGGCCAGGCTGGCAGTCGAATTCAAAACACGCACTGGCAGACCCGGCGTTTGGATGCACTACGACGTCTGCCAGCCTTGGTTGAGTGGTCCAATCCAGACTTTCCCCTGCTCACACACTGCGCCCTTGCAAGATTGGGTTGTCGTCCTTCCTCCTCCTGTTTCCGAAGACGTTCGAAGTGCTGCACGGCTGGATTTTGATGTGGATCGATTTGTTCACGTCCTTGCGAGATCGTCTGTCACTCAAATGATTTTCACATGCTGCGAGTGGCGACTGTTGCGAGGTTCGGACCGGCGAACGAGTTTGTGCGCCTTGTGCGGAAGAACTGCCGGACTCTCCTTGACAACGTGGAGGCTTCATTTGCACCTACCGACATCTTACTAGAAGCGATCGCTGCATGGCAGTGTTGGCCAGGATGCGATGGTGCGCTTGGCTATGGGCCGCGAGGTCATAATCAATGCCCGCGTGGCTTACTGCGGGAAGTGCTTGTCATGTCGAAGAGGACGGACGGATCCACTACAACATAGCAGACTGCGCGTCCCAGGATCCAGAAGATAAGGCAAGAGCAGCCTGGCAGCCTGAGTGTCAGTGCTGTCGGATTCAGTGATCCTGGCCAGTGGGTGAAGCACATGAATGACCTGAGCTTCGCCAGTGCCAGCCCCAAGGTGGGCGACAGATCAGAGCCCAGCCGTTCGGAGTCCTGCCATGTGTCACGGAAGGCTCACATTCTACCTCGCCTGACCACTCACCGACTGAAAGCTCTGGCCTCAGAGGAACGGCAAACGTAAAGATTTGGACCGGTGAATCTCTGCCCTCTAAGGCGGCGTACATAAAGTCGAACGACATGGCAATGGCTCCGGAGAGGTGCCATTTTGCCGCTTGTGCTTCGATGTCGGGCATACTGTGTTGTTTTTTGCTCGTTGGCACTTCACCTGTCCCCTGACGCAAGCACTCGTGCGAAATGGCTCATGGACTTCCTTCTGAGACTTCTACCTATGTAATATCTGCGTCGAATCTACGTACCGAGACGGGATCTGGATGTGTGTGCAACCAGACTGGAGGGTCAGGAATGTTCTGTCTGAGAGGGCATGGATGCCTGATGCCAGTGCAGGACCTCCAGATCTGATGCTTTAGGCGCATTGGATTCCTTCAGGGAGCTGGTCCAGTCGAATGCTTCCTTGCACAGAAGACATGTTCGGACGCTGGGCTTGAACAGGATTCGGCAACCTCTGAGAGACTCTCGCTCGGTTTCACATGCTTAGCACCGTAGGTGCGATGCTGAAAAAAGATCGCATGAACAAACATCTTGCCTTGCCGGTATGTGCATCAGTCTGGGAAGCAGACCGTGACACACACACACACACATGGGCTGCTCCACCGAAATGTTCGGTGTTCAGAGAGCTACAGAGACCCTGTGAGGAGACATACTGTTTCTGCGGTTTAGAGATGGACGCAGCACGAGCATCAAGCGCAGACACCCTTGCAAACTGAGAGAGGCAAAGCAGCATTCAATTTGCGGAGTATTTGCATGTAGCCTTCATACCCACCGGTGCAATGGAGACCGACCGCCCCTCAGATTTGGTGGTATCATGGTCAGACATTTCCAGGCTCGTCTCCCAGCATCAGGACACGTTGCCATATGACGCCGATGGAGCAGCATGGGATGTTTGGAAGGCCAGTGTTGTCGCAAGCACAACCTCAAAGCAGAGCAATCGCTTGCCAGGTGCCAACCTATCAATCTGGTTGCAAGAACCAGACTTTTGAGGCAGAGCCTGTCTGTTCCATTTCACGGCATCTCTTCCGCTCTTCCTCTCTCTGTCTCTCGCTCACAATCTGCCAGGTAAGCTCAAAGCATCCACCTGAGGATGATGCCGTTGCTCCGAAACTTTGCGGAAGAAGTTATCGGCGTGGCCGTGAGGACTGTGTCTTGTGAGTCACCTCGCTTAAGGACGATACCATACGATACCGTTTGCAACATGGATCCGGAGCTGGAAGGTGCAGTCCAAGGCTCAGGCTGCATCACAGTCGTCTCGGTGCAGCCTATGCAAATGTGGGAAGAATCTGCGGGGAGGAAGTCCGAACAGAGGGGAGAAGAAGCCATGCCAGAACTAGGAACAGTATGGAACAATGAGGGTTTCCGGGAAGGCAAGGAGCTGACAGCCTGAGCACTGCTACTGGCACCAGCAAGTCTTGGTCTTTCGCGATGGTTCAGAAATCGTGTCCTTTCCAAGCTCCAGCTCTTGATGTGTTCTGAAACTGCTCCGAATCAGGTTGAAGTGACCTGCAATCGCATTGTGCCCTCAGGAATGTGCCAAAACACACAAAAGATGTGGTCTGCCAGAAGATGGGATCTTGACAGGAACTCTGCAGGAGTATGCAGAACTGCCGATGTACCCTGGGACAAGGATATCGCATGTTCTGACAGACTTGCAAGCCCGGTAACCTTTGGCAGTATACAATGCGGGCATGGCCGTGTTTTTTGTCTGTCCAAAGGTCAAAACACAGGCAGTAACAAAGCATGGGCAGTTGGCCTTGATGCAAAGCGCGTTGTTTCGCACATGGCCGGCAATTTTGCACAGTCCTACCTGAGAAAAGTTCCGACACGGAAATGCCAAAGGGCAGGTAAGCCTGCAACTGAGGGTTCCATACTGACGAGCTTTGAGGTTGGTGATGCCACCCTTGCATACGAAGCAGGTGCTCCAGGCTGGTGCACGCCACACAGCACAGCCTGGCATGCCGAGCAGAGACACGACTGGTCAGGCGAAATGCCAGAAGTGAGCACTTTTACTAGCATGCCACCGCCGGCATGGCAACGTCCCCAACATGCAGTCTTCAGCAATGCATTGCCACTCGTGCTTGTCGTCGCCGACTGCCAGCTGCAACCAGGTCACCCCCGGCAGCCGCTGCGATCGACCAGGAGGTGCACCTCTCCTTCTATGTGGGGTATCACTAGCAGTAGCAAGTCTTTCAGCCTTGGCCAGAGACTGCTTTGCACGTCAGGCTCCTACCTTGGCATATGGGGACACACTTGCAGGGACCCTATTCACGCTGCTCTGCTATCTTCTGATGCCACAAGCGAACGTCTCACACCGACAGGTTTTGCAACCGGAAGATGATGCGGATCAGGCAGCGCCGATGGAACCTTGTCCGGAGGCAGTGCCAGAGGCAGTGCCAGCTCCCGCGGAGATGGCGGAGCAGCCCAGTTGCATATCCAGATCCAGCGAGTCCCCGCAGCCCCGCGAAGTGGCTGGAACGGGTCCACGAACTGAAAAGTCGGGTCACGGACGAATTTCCGCATCTGGTCTTCGACTTCGGCTCTGGCACAAACAGCCGCCGCCAACAGGAGGGATCAGCGAGGGCTTCGGCGTGCGCGTGCCTTCCCGTCTGCGCTGCCTGTAGCAGGATATGTTCCTCCTCGCAGAGCATCTCGAGCAAAACCGAAGGCATGTTTGCACTCCAAGTTTATGGGTAAGAAGCAGTTTCGGCCCGGCCCGTCCGGCCCGTCCGTCAGGCGCGCTCGTCTGCACCTGCAAAGAGGCTCGCGTGTCGACGAGACTGAGGGTCCTGCTGTTGGCGATGCGGCTAGGTCTGCGCCGTCAGTTGCTCCAGCTGATCCTCACTCTGTCACCAAGATGGTGGGTTGTAGAGCCGCAGCCTTGACTTGTCTTGTCATCATTTCGTCGTCATGCTCTCCTATTTTGCGTGAAGGTCTCCGTGACCGGTGATGGCTGGGGTGGCGGAACGGGAGAGTCCTCCCGATTGCAGTGGTCAGATCGGTCGCACTCCAGCTTCGTTTCGTGCAGGTACGAGGCCACAGTCGTGGACTCCGACGACCTTTCCTTGACGGTTATTTACAGAGACGATGACAAGAAATGGAAGGATCGCCGTGTTTCACATGGTCCTGCAAAACACAAACAGACTTCTTGCAGACTCTAGCGCCACAGGAGACCCACGTTCTGCGCCAACACTGCGATCTTCTTGACGCCCCTCAGGTTGTCTGAGATCACCAGCCTTGAAGGGAGAGAGAGTCTCTGTGCCGGGAAGTGGAGAGTTCAAGTCTTCTGTGACCAGGCTGAACCGGCCTCGCGACGAAGAACCATCTGAGGCTCTCCAGGCTGTACGTCAGAGCGGCCACAAGAGCTGCACGGCCCCAAGTTCAAAAAAAAGGACTAGGTTGCGCTGATGAAAGGAAAGGTTTGGGATACCGCTTTTTTCTTTGCACTTCCTGCTTCGTGGTCTTTCTAAGCTGCGGAGGTAAGCCGCGGCGTCACACCTGCACTTTGTTCACAGGCTATCACTCGAGATTGAATCCACATCTGCAAGCTAGTCGACACTCGCAGCAGCAGTCACAGGTTGCAGGCATCACGCTGATCTCTCGGATACTGGCTCAACGCAGCCCTGAGCCACTCACACGTAAGTCAGCAGCGCAAACCAAAGAAGCCAGCAGCAGTTGCTCTTGCCAGATTCGACTCCCACAGATGTCGTCCACTCGCACAGTGGCTCTAATGTGGTTGGCGGAATGCTTGGCACCGCTTATAGTCCCAGCTGTACTGTTTTTTCCACCTCGCAGCACTTCAGCGGCAGCCGTGAATGCTCTGAATAACATGTCTTGCCAAGCTCGAGGATCTCGAAGGGGTTGACGGAATTTGTCCAATTCTGCTCGGGTGCCTCCTCAAGGGGTTAGTGGATCGGATTAGACTGATTAGTCTGATGTGCAGCCCTTTGCTGACTTTCTGGGACTGGTTTCAGTTCCGGGAGCATAATCGACGCAGCCGTCGGGAAGCAGAACCGGCCATGGGTTCGCTGCGGCCGTGGAACCTTTTCGGCAGAACTTTGTACATAGCTTCGACGGAAGGCGTGGGCCCGTGGGCCAGGGCCATCCAGGGCACAGTTGAGAGTCGCTGATCTCGATGCACTCGGCAACTGTTTAGCAAACCGAGGCAAACAAAAGAAGTCTGGGGGGCCAGGATCGTATGAAAGTGTGATGCCGGGTCACTTACAATGATTGGAATCGTGTGTTTGTGGTTTTGACGATGTGATGCCGATCTGTTCTAGAAACGGTGTCGCACAGGGAAGCTCGCTTCTGGCATCGTTCCTTTTTGATGCTGAACTCCAAGAAAGTCATCAGTGATGCAAGTAGCCGTAGCGCAACCGTAGAGCACTGCACGCAAGCAACAATGGACACCAGGCATTCCAATGGAAGAAAAGGCACTGAGGTACTCGTAGAATGCATGTAGAACCAATGCAACGTCTTTTTCAGAGTACGGCCGCGGATTGCGTGCGAAGACCCTGCGAGCAGGTGGAGCGTTGAACAGCAACCTCGCCATCCAGTTGAGCCAAGCCAGAGCGAGACAGCAGGCCTGGTTCTCCAGCTCTGCATAGGTAACTTTGCTCGATCTCAATGCTCGTAGAGGCGCAAGAGGCCAGCCGCTTCAGCTCGCCCTTTGCTCGAAATTTGGCATACCTCCTGTGGCCGTCGTTCCCCAAGCAGTTCAATGCAGTGTGCACGAGTCGCAGAGGAGAGGGACTGAGCTGATGGCAGAAGCGCACTGAGGTTTTCCGCAGCGTGGGTCCTGCTTTGGGCAGCAAGGCGTCTCAAAGCGTGCAAGCCCTTCCCTGCTGTCGGGTGATTGCGCTTTGCTTTAAGCGCAGGTGGCGTTATCGAGATGCAGATCGACTTCGAGAGCTGGAATCAAAGCCAGGAGGCCCGACACACCCTGACCGCCCTGACGTCCAGCACGCGGCAAGGCACGTGTGCCGTGTGCCGAGGCGCAATACTGCTGGACCTCCTGGCCTGGCGGGTTACTGCGCATTTAGGCCCGTACCAGGCGGTTCTTCTTGTCTTGTTGCTGTTCTCGACTGAGCTGGACTGGGTTCGACTGTGCAGGGGCAGAGCTTAATCTCTGTCAGGTACCGAACTTTTCAAAGGCCAAGATGCACGAAGAACCACTGAAAATTCTCCAGGCAAGCAGCAGAGGTGTCGCTCGGTCCCTCCGCACATCCTCTCTGTCGCAGGATCCAGTCTTGTTGGACCACGAGAGAATGCGAGCTCTCAGCAGGCGCAGTGCATGAGAACGAACAGATCGTGCTGAGATTGCCGCGAGTTGTGGCAAAGCTCTGGCACAGGCTCGGTCAGCTGTCGCAAAGGACGGCAGCCTCTAATGAAAGCAGTGTGCTTCAGAGCAGCCTGAGCATGTCAGGCGCATGGCCGCGTTGAGCTTCTCGCCTCCGGGAATGCAGCAAGGCGGGCGGGCGGGTGTGTCAACAGTGTCAGTGACTCTCGGCCGTGCCTTCGAGCCAGCGGCAGGTTCGCCATTGGCGGCGATTGAGCCACTCCTTTTTGAAGCGTTCTACGAGGACAGCGGTCGTCTTGCGCGACACCGTGGTCCTTAGGGTCGTGACCGCCACGGCCTGAGGACTCTGCCAGTGCGACGAAAACTCCGGGCACCAGCTCGGACACGCACAGAGCTGCTGCAGCAAAAATCATCCTGGACGTGGTCGCGGCATGTCCGTCCCAGGAGCTTCTTTTGCTGCTTTGCTGGTGCTGTGGCATGGAGCCATGTGTCCGTAAGCAGGACCGGTCAGTTCCGGCCTGGGTTCTCAGTGGCCTGGTGAAGGCCCAGGGCATTCCTTGGCAGGTTGGCCCACAAGGAGCAGCAGCCAAGCGCACCGATGGATGGAGATTCCTTGCACATTCCTATTACTACATCCTACACCACTAGGAGAGGAGCTGCGTGCCACACTTCTTCTGCAGCTGTCAGATGCCAAGCCGCGTGAGGGAAGCAGGTAATGAGGACCAACCTAATGTAAGTTTTTATTTGACAGGAAGGTTCATGCTGAAGCTCAGTCTACCCGTGTCTACCCAAGGCTGCGAGCTCCTTCAAATGCTGCAGCTGCGGGTTCGCTGCCGGAGGCCGGACCGCGCAGGAACATGCGAGGAAGGACCTACAGCACATGGAGCTTTCAGAGTGGGACGTGTGACTGTGAGGTGCTGCAATACCTCGGCGATGCAGGCTCTGCGATTGCAGTGGGTAGTGAAGTCCGCAGGAATTCGACGATGTTGTGTCTGTAGGGAACATCGCGATTAGGCATAAAGAGAAAAGAGGACACAGCCTGGCCGCTGAAGGCCCACTGTCTACCGTGCCGTTGGCCACGTGAGCGATGTCGCCAAGCTGCTTTCAGCAAATGCGCCAGGCGTACCTGATGAGTGGTGAGACACATGACTTGCTGCGGAAGGGTGCCAGACTCGTCACGAAGCAATGCAGCTCGGCAGCAACCTGCTTTCCGTTGCACAACATGACTTGCTCACGCATGCCAGCAAGGTCCGGGTGCCGTGGAGCCAAAGACCAAGAGGCTCCAGAGTTGACAAGTTGAAGCGGGTTTCGATTGTGCTTTGGTCGCAGGGACAGAGATACGCCGACACTTCAGACGAAACGCGATGTGCGGAACTTCTGGACTTCGATCTTGCTCACAGCAGGCCAGAAAAAGCCAGAAAGCGGCACTCGAGCAAATCAGGTAGAAGTAAATCCGCGAGTCTCCGACTAGGATGGGCTTCTTTCCAGCATTGGACGGCAGTCTTCACGGCGCAGGCGATGTTGTGCAGCATGTGCACAGTGCCACGAGATGTAGTGCCAAGAATCTGAGTGGTGCTTTGAGCTGGAAGGCTGTCCTGCAGCTTTTAGCCGGTATTGGAAGTGCCAGTGCAGGCACCGACATACCCCTGAAAGCAACGCAGCACATTGAGCGAGCCAGGTGCGGCAGTACTGGAGGCGATCTGGACTGCCGAAGAACACATCATCCAAACAGAGTGGTACTGGGAGGCCTGGCCATGTGGCTTTGCCACGTTTTGCGTTTTCGCCTGGTAGTTGGCAGCTCTTCAGGGCGACTACAGCACGCCTGCTTCTGCGGCCATGACACTCGTCAACTGCGTGGCGCTAGCCTGGGAGCACGGCTCAGAGTTTTTCATGGCTTCATGTGGCGGTAAAGGAGAAGCTCCAACTGTAGCACTGTCTGCAAGGCTGCGCGCTTCGCCTGCATCTTGCCTTTTGCATTCTCGAGATTATTTAAAGATGATTATATGGATGCATATAGAACTTTCACGTGACAAGCGCGAAAAAGGGGCCGCTTGCGCATCGCTGTTCTCTGTTATAGTGGAGTTTACGACAATAGCCAAAGAATGCGAGCTGGAGACTGCTGCTGGCAGATTTGGCTTGCAGCGTAGTTCCCGGAGTCACTGCATGTCTTTCTCATTGGCCTAGGTACTTGGCCATTGTAGTATGGCAGCAAATGGCGACTATCAAAAGATGGAAGATGTGGCTTCCGGACCGCTGGAACCGCCATTTGCGCTATCGAGGCTGAATGATGACAAAGATGGGCTACTTAAGGGCTTGACAGATGCCCGAGTCGCTGAATTGGTTGAGCAGTACGGGCTGAATCAAGTGCCCGAAGACAAAGAGCCGCTATGGAAGATGTTTCTCAAACAGTTCACCGGCCCAATGCAAATCATGATTGAGTGTGCCGCATTGCTTTGTTTCCTGATCCACAACTGGCCTGATTTTACCATCATCATGATCCTTTTGGTGACCAATGGCGTGCTCGGGTTCATCGAAGAGAAAAACGCTCAAGCTTCTGTCGATGCCTTGAAGGCTGGACTAGAGAAGAAGATGCCCGTGAAGAGAAACGGCACGTTTGAGAGCATCCCGGTCGTTCAAGTGGTTCCCGGAGATGTGCTTTTCATGCGGGGCGGTGACATCGTGCCAGCGGATTGCTACTGGCTAGAAGGTGACCCTTGCCAGGTCGACGAGGCAGCCCTCACTGGCGAGTCCCTGCCAGTGAAAGTCCCCCGCAAGGATGATGAGGGGAAGCCTTTTTCTGGCCGGCAGATGTGGTCGGGATCCATTTTGAAGGTCGGTGAGTGCCAGGCAGTGGTCAGTCACACCGGTGTCAATACTATGATCGGGGAAGCTGCGAAGGCAATCCAAGAAGCTGGAGGCAAAGACATTGGCGTCTTTGAAGGGAAAATCATTGAAGCCGCACAAGTGCTCATTCTTATCACAGTCCTTGTTGTGGCATTCCTCTTCAATTTCATGTACTTTGCACAAGGTGTTCCCCTCGTGGAGGTGCTTGAGATGTCTCTTTCTCTGGTAATTGCATCGGTGCCTGTTGCCCTTCCTATGGTCATGAAAGTCACTTTATCTATCGGCGCGAAGGAGCTCGCAGATGAGGGTGGCATCGTGACGCACTTGACCGCATTGGAAGAGATCGCTTCGATGAAATGCCTTTGCTCAGACAAGACTGGGACACTCACCACTGCGCAGATGACTGTGTACTATGATGAAACTGCCAGGTCATACAGCGGGTTCTCGACGGAGCAGGTGCTGGAGTTTGCATCTTTGGCATCGAATGAAGCCAACAAAGACGATCCTATCGATGCAGCTGTTCTCCGGGCGTACTCAAAGATGAAAGGTGCTGCCACCGTGGAGGCAGCAATCGACAAGCGAAAACTCGAGTTTGCTTTGGACAAAGATGGTTTCATGGGCTTCAATCCTATCGTGAAGCGGACATGCGCTGCCGTCACAGCGTCAGATGGCACGAAATGGTTCTGTGCGAAGGGCATGGTCGACGTGATCTTGAAGACAAATCCGGATGACGAAGGCAAGCAGTGGACTGTTGCTGACTACGACTCCATGTCCAAGGAAGCTTCCAAGGCAGACGCTGACCTTGGGGTCTCTGGCTTCAAGACCCTAGGTGTTGCAGTCGCAAAGAACGGTGGCCCAATGCAATTTGCTGGTATTTTGCCCATCATGGATCCGCCCAGGCATGACACCAAAGAGACTATTCGCAAGATCAAAGAGGCACAGGTTGCCGTGAAAATGATCACGGGGGATCATCACAATATCGGCAAAGAGTTAGCCAGACAGATTGACCTCGGGACGGACATCAGAACTCCGGACTGCTTGCACCCCGCCAGCGAAGCCCGTGATTTCATTGTGCTTCAGGCTGATGGCTTTGCAAAGGTCAAGCCTCTGGACAAGCATGAGGTTGTGTCCGTACTACAGGACAAGGGGTTGGTGGTTGGCATGACGGGCGATGGCGTCAACGACGCTCCGGCATTGGCGAAGGCACAAGCAGGGCAACAGAGTTGTGCCTCCACACATACGGTTCATATGTGTGCCAACATTTGTGTATCCATCGGTATCTTTCTCTTTCCCTTTCAATTTCCCTTCCCCTTCCCTTTCGCTTCCTCTTCCTCTTCCGCTTTCTCGTTATCTTTCTCGTTCTCTTTCTCTCTCTTTTGCTTTCTCTGTCTCTGTACATATGTCTATGTGACAATGTGTATACCACAGTGACAGCATGAACAACAGTATGACAGAGTACGTAAACAGATACTTTTGAGATTTCAGTCGATGACATGTATGTGTATGTATGCATGCATGCCTGTGCGTACGTATGTGCGTAAGTATGTACGTATGTATTATCTATAAGTATTACATATGTATGTATGTATGTAAGCAGGTATGTATGCACGTGTGTATGTGCGTATGTATGCCTGTTTACATGTATATGTATATAGAAGATACACATGTATGTGTATGTATGTATATATATATATATATATGTATGCACATGTTATGTGCAGATATTTATATGTATATATATATATATATATACATATATATATATATATACTACACATACAACTAGGTACGTAAATCTTTCAGTCAGTCGGTCTGTCTGTCTGTCTGTCTGTCTGTGAAAACATGAATACGTAAATACGAGAAAGTATCAGAGAAGAAATACGTAGCTGATACAATGTATAGAGATGGGTACCTGTATCTTGATGTCTGTCTGCCGTCTGTCTGTCTGTCCATTTGGATACTTGGTATCTGATTATCTACTGCATTGTTTGTTTTCTATCCACTGACGTTGCTATCTGCCTTGCTGTGTAGCCGTCCGTCCATCTGTCTTTCTCTATCGTTTCCTGTCTGTCTCTATCTACCTCCATCTAAATCTATCTCTATCACCTACCGCAACTAGTTCGGTAGCTGGCTAGCTAGATAGCTAGCCAGCTAGCCAGCCAGCCAGCGAGAGAGCTAGCCCCACTGTATCTATTGGTATGTATATGTATATGCATGTTTGAGTACGTTTGTGCGTAGAAACAGCAAGTAGGTCGATAGAGAAACCTTCGTGCAAACATTTTAGTTTTGTATGCTATTTATTTATGACAGGCTGTGTCTTCAGTTGCAGAAGTTTCGCGGCTGCCAGGCACAAATTGGCATCGCGGTACACGGAGCCACTGACGCCGCGAAGTCTGCTGGTGATATAGTCTTGACACGAGACGGTCTCTCGCCAATCTACACAGCCATTCAGATCTCGAGACGGATCTTCAAACGGTTGAAATCATACGTAATTTATCGCATCTGCATTACAGTGCAAGTCGTGTTCTTCTTGGCCGCGCTGGCCATTTTCTTTGACCTCCGTTTCAAGGCTCTTTACATTATCTTGCTCGCGCTCTTCCATGACCTGCAGATTGTGACGATTGCTTACGACCACCAGATCGCCGGACATAAACCCGAGACACCCACTGTGCTGGGACTACTGCTGCAAAGTTACTCCATGGGCATTCTGATGTTTGCTCAAACGATGCTGCTGGTCTCTTGTGGCCACTACTTCCTCTCGGATAGATTTGCAGACGGTTACTTCGCAAGTGTGGACGCTACAGCGGCGGGTACCGAAATGGACAAGTACATGGAGACCACCATTTTCCTACAGATCTCCAACTCATCGGCAATTCTGATCTTCTCGGCACGCACAGTTGGATTCTTCTTTACAAGCATGCCGGCATGGCAATTGGCGTTGTCGACTGCGCTGGGGCAGGTCCTGATCAACGTGTGGTGCCTGTGGGCTCCTTCCGGCCTGGTAGACAAGCTGGAGCCCATGGACGTTTTAGGCATCTGGCTGTACGACATTGCTTGGCTTCTCCTACTGGATCTCGTGAAGATAGTTGCTGGTCGGCTCTGGGATAAGTACAAGCCTGCAGCTATTGATCGAAACCCTGCCTTGACGGCCCGTGACCGCAACAGTCGGCGCTTGTCCAACAACCTGCGCCCCTCATACATGCTGGCGCAAGTGGGAGATCAGAAGTCTGGGGTCGACGCACAACTGAGTCAGGTCCCCCTTCAGCAAAGGAACTCGCTTCGTTTATCCAGGACCTACAAGAAGTAGGCCTGAACAGTGCTACAAAGCAAGGTTTTAACGTTCAACAGCTTTTGCAGCCCCGTTCCTGAACCCTACAGCGGTCGACACATGCCTCCTGTACAGACCGGCTGTCGATCATGTTGTTGGTCGGCTGATCATCAGTGTCATCGATTCATCACCAGAGGGAAAGCAAGGCCGGGTTCCAGTGCCATGCTGACGCAGGGGATGGACATGCAGTGACGCCTGCCTCGGCGGAAGTCAGAACGTTTCCTGCCAGCTTTGCTCGCAGCTTCGCGTGCTTGGGGAGCGCAATGACGGACTTCAAGCCATTCACCGCCTACATTGTTGATGCTTGCAGGAGCGCGCGCCACCTGCTACCAAGTTCTTGTGATGCCGAGAGACGCAAACAACTCGCACGAAAGATTTGAGAGGACTGCTGGCGGCAAGCGAAACGGCCGGCTTTCAGGTCCCCACAGGGGGCACAGCGCAGAGCATGTACAGTGTACAGTAGCAGCAGCCTTTTTTTTTCTCTCTTTGCCACAGAGGCTACCATCCTGCAGAGCTCGGCGCGACGGTCTGCGATGCTCTCATCGAACGGACGAAGGTGAAGGCGGCCGAGGCGCGCCTGGGCGCGCCTTTACAGTTCGTCTCAGGACTTCCTTTGAATCTTCTGTTCGTGCTGCTTGCATCTGACATCTAGCCACAGACGTAAGATGCCCTTCCTAGTTGCCCTGGTTTTTATCAGCATCAATGGAGCCTGCCGCGCCAGATGCCATTGAGGTTTCGTTGGCTGCCAACTTCACGTCGAACCCGACGACCCCCACAACGTGAACAATGGAAAGACATGCATCCACACTTCGTTGCGCAACCTTGGAAAGGCCACACCTGGGAACACCTGCGTCCATGACACGTGCCTCATCTTTCGCTAAGAAACGCTTGTTGCTGCGGTCGCTTTGGTGCACCGCGTGTACTTGACATGCTTCTTCGCATCACTCACAATGCAGCGGACAAACCTAGAAACAGGCAAAGCCGACACCGACACAGCAAAACTACAAGACAAAGGTCACAAAGGTCATCAAACGGTATCTTCCTCCTCGGTTCTCTACAGGCTACAGCTCCGTTTTAGAAGGAACTCAAGCAAGAAACATAACCTGTTAGCGGATGCCGCATCTCGATAATTGTGCTGAACTGAAACCAATGTGCTGAAACCACTCTCAGAGAACGCTTCGGAGCATCCCGAGTTTCCCTGTTATGGCAGGTTGACCGCACGATGCCAAGAGTAAACGACCGTAGCTTGGTCTGAAGTCTAGACGCCTTTGTTGTGCGGTCTCGGATTTAGTTTTGTTCACCGCCCTTTGCCAAGTGTTCTTTCACTCCCAGCAGTGACTCGCCAAACCTGGGAACAAAATTGACATCCTTTGGCCCCATAGAAGAGGTATGTAGTCCGATTTTCGAAAGGCTGTTCATGATGACATCAGGTGGAAGACGTCATCTTCGGCTGTGTCAGCCAGGTTGGTGCGCAGGCCAGGTGCAGGTTGGCCGTGTGGCTGTTGCGGCACTGCGCAGAGCGATTGTCACGAGTCTGCGCACCAGTCTGGAAACATTGGGCGCGGTGTTGTGCTTTCCTCTCGACACTTGCCGGAGAGCGCCAGGGCCTCATGGACAGGCATGATGCATGCGATCTGCATCATCTCTTTCTGAGGCAAGTAGCAGGTAATTATTGTATGGCCGAAGGCTGCATGGGTTCCCATGGTCTGCCAGTGCAGGTCCCAGGCCAGTCCGTCGACAGGCAGTGCGGCTCCTCGCAGCAGGACCGGCTTCGATTGCCATCACTGAATTCTGGCTCCTGACAGCCTGCTTGTGTAGTCTTGGGACGAGCAGGCACAGCTTGCAGTGACAAGAAAAGCAATCAAAGCGGGTACATCCTAACCATCTCAGGGATCCTGTTTCTGTAGCTGTTCTCAGGATGTGGTTGGAATTTTCCCATGCAGCCTCAGCCGATCTCCAGCATGCTTTGCAGGCCATCCATGCAGCCGCGCAGGCGGTGATGAGTGGTGTGCACGACTGCTGCGGCCTGTCTCAATGGTTTGCGACCTTCGCTTCGAGACAGAGCTTCTGTGGGAGGGTCTTTTGCGCACCAAGGTATCGCCGGCGGTGTGGAGGTCATGCGCAAGTCTGAGAATGCCTGGCTGTGCATGCATGTGCATGCAAACTCTGGAAGACAGTCACCTAAACTGCGAAGGTCACAGGTTCCCATCGGTGCTTCTATCATTGATGGTCTGAAGGCCTTGCGTAAGCCTTAACGTTGCGATGCTGATCGTGCCGTTGAAGCCGAATGTGAGGCCGGGCACGGCAATCCCATGAGCGATGCCACCATGGAGAAGTATGCCGAGAAAATGAAGGCTGGGTCTTCTCGACATTGCTGCGTGCACTACAATGCTCCTGTCGGGCGGGGCCGATGCACAGCCCTTATGATCATACGGCTGGTCTCCTAACTAAGGTGACATGTTCTGCAGCAGGCGGATAAGTCACAGTATAGGCATCGCCGCACCTCCTTGTGCACAAGTCCCAAGTTCTAGCGGGAGCTGGCACAGCGATTTCCCTACGCAACGGTTGTTCGTAGTCCGCTGTTGCTTGGAATCTACCGGATAGGTCGCAGTTCTCAGGTGCATTTCCGTGAAGTCGTGGCGCAACGGCTTTTACTAGGTTTACTGACAGCCCAAGTCGCAGCAGTGCGATGCCTTTTATGGCTTTTTCTTCAATGCCTGGAGCAAATCCTAGCCGCTCGCCAGTCAATGTGGCCCCTCGGAACTCGATTCTCTCTCACGGCTGACATTGCATCGGTCCGGAAGTGTTCTGTGTCGGAGGCCTTCGAACAGTTTAACATGTCCTCGCAGGCACGCGCGATTGTGAGTGGAAAGCAGTGCATGACTCACTCTGAATTATACTGATGCTCTGGCAATGCCTGTTCAGGCTTTCTCTCAATTTGGAGGTGCAGAGCTTTTGGCGAAAAAGTATGGACTAAGCCGTGAGGCAGGGCAAGAGAGATCCATCATCATGCTAGACAGTGCTTGAGGGAGGACATCTGCACAGAGGTTGAGCATTGTCGGGCCGTTTTCTCCAGGATGTGGACAAATTCGCCGCCATCTCGCAGCAAAGAGCAGTGACATCTACGCAGGCTACACGACAGCACCATTACTCAAACCGGCTGCACACGAGCATTGGATGGGTCTAAGTTCTCATGGAATGTGTCTGCGTCAGAGTTAAGAGCGTCAGGCTGGCAAGTTTGCAGACGAGATCGTCCCTCTGCCAGTGAAGCGCGGCTAGGCAGCAAGCCGTAAATGCGGGTCCTCGAGGTAGACAGCACGGCCAAGAGTGAAGGACGACTTTTCAATCTGGTGACCTCTGACCTAACGTCTGCCACTGTCCAGTTTTTGAGGTAAAAGGTCAGTGTTCCAGCAAACTGGTCCTGCGCTCTTCGTCTCATCTCCGCCCTGGACACTTCCCAAACTCCGAAACAGCGCTTGAGAATGCTTGAGAAGTAAGGAAAGGAAGGGCAATCCGAGGGCATGCATACCCAGGCCTGATGTCCAATTCAGAGTTTTCTTTGGCGAGTTTGCAGAATAAGCGCAGGATGAGGGCATCAGGGAAGGCGTGACAGTTGAGAGCGTGGCAAAGCTGAAGGCAGGCTCAAGTAGCATGTGGCACGCCAGTGGCGGAAACATCAAGCATCTGCACAGGCCATGTTTCCGAACGGTGTCCTTACCCCTGCATCCTCGTCGCAAATCTGTCAGCGTCTTGGACACGGGGTCTTCAGTCTTTGTGTCTGCGGGACTCGTCTGTTCTGGAAGCTCAAAGTCTGACTGAAACGAGAGTGACCGGGAGCTGGAGCACGGGTCAAGGCGACGGTGCTGCTGCTGTATTGATTTGCAACGAGCCTGGTTCCCAGACATGCCGTGCACAGCTTACATTACCAACAAAGGTAAAAGTTCGATGTAGTTTCAACAAATCGCCGTGGCTCTTCCTTGTCACCAGACTGGTGTAGAGCCTTCTGGGGCTCGTCTCCCCCGTGTAGAACATGCGAGATCATGCGGGATGGATTGCTTTACTGAGCCGTCAGGCGTGGACTAGCAAAACTCGGTGTCCAGCCGTTGGCAAGGAGTGCCACGTCGCAGGATGTAGTGATGCTGAAAGAAGTTTCAGTGCGTTTGTCTGGGATATGTGCAGGATACATTCGTTGGCTCTCGCAGGGGCCACGGTGCACGATGAATGATGCGGCTGTGTCATCACGCTTCTAACATGCAAGTCCCCAGTCTTTCTTTGCCAAGAGCTTCTCTGGAGGCCGCTGCTGATCCCGTGATAATGCTGGAAGCGCCCGGCTCCTATGATGCCGCATGTGAAAAATGCGTATTGTCCGTGTTGTGTTTGGTAATGTTTGAAGCTTGGCATGCAGTGCAGCTGTGAGGCCGATCCCAGCAACGCAGAAAGCCTTGCAGAAGGCGTGGCATGTCTTTGAGACTTGACGTTCTCTGTACCGTCAGACCACCGCCAGACAGACACCACAGCACAGCAGACGACGGCTGTCCACGAGTCTGCAGTCTGTGGGCCTAGCTGCTCAGCTTGCGAACCCCGGATGAAAAACGTCATATGGATTCTGCTGGCAATCGCCTATGTGTGCTGTTCAGTAACACCCAACCTTGCCTCCACCACCTGCTAGCCTGCAGGACCCTGACAAGACCCACCTTGCACAACATAGACGCCATGACTGCCCTTGTCCTCGCACTGAAGTCGCGTTTGGTTTCTGTTGCTTTTGCAAGACCGCTAGGAGTCTGAGATTGCATGCGCTTTGCATGTCCACAGGCCAACATGAAGATTCAGGACGTGGACGTTTATGAGGCTCGGGACCCGCTGTAACTGTGCATCACCTTGGCTTTGTAAGACCGGGCCAGTCTTCTCAGGTCAACGAAGCCTTCGCATCGGTGCCGCTAGCGTGGTGTAAGGCAGGGGAAGAGCGAGCCGTTCTACCG